GGGCTCTAGAAGAAGAAGCCGATCGGAATTAAAGTTATAATAATCCCATGACCAGTTCGTAATTTGTACTCATTTCGTATCGTTGAGTCAGACGCGATACATCGATTGATTCGTACAGAAATAACAAACTTCTTCTGTCGTCTCTGCAGATCGTTACATTGCATGTATTGATCCATGCATTGTTCTCGGTATCGATAGAACGAGACGTACGATTGCGTCAAGATACGTGGCCAAATTGAATTTTAGAGATTTGACATTATTTTACGATGAGATAACACTTATTTATGTGACTTAGTGTTTAGAGTGGACTTGGTAACAAAATAATATGACAAAGGTCAATGTTAAACATGTTGTTTTGTCAGTCTCCTTGGGTCTTCTGTCGCGCGAAGCGCCACTCACACGTACGAATTTGCGCACGCTCCTTCTGCCGCCCACGACTTAAGATCTCCGCGCTCAGAATCTCTCCTAATACTGCCCGGGGGTGGGAGTACTCCCAGAAAAGTTGGGTGGGGATGGGCAACCGACTTCCCAAAACCCTTACGCTATTTATAACCAAAATCTGCGATTTTGCTACCCTATGTATGACCTGACCAAACAAATTCGATGCCTTATTTGTTGTCGTTGCGGCTAGCACAGTTGCCCTAAACATAAGTTATGAAGGGCTTTTGTTGATGGTCTTATTGATAATGATGAAAAAGTAGCTTCTTCCAAGAAACAAACCCNATTTGTTGTCGTTGCGGCTAGCACAGTTGCCCTAAACATAAGTTATGAAGGGCTTTTGTTGATGGTCTTATTGATAATGATGAAAAAGTAGCTTCTTCCAAGAAACAAACCCGGTTCAAGACTAGAGTGCTAAAACAATACCCTATTTAAGACCAAAATGGCCAAAATCGATACCCCATTTATGGCCAAAACGGCTGCAAAACCCTACCCTTTGGGCCGCACATACCTATACAGCCCATATAGGGGATTACCCCCCCCCCCGGGTAATACTCCCCCAACACGGTACATTTTATGGCTGTTTTACAGCTACAAAGTATGTGTTGATCTCGAAACAAGCCCGCGCATGAGGTTCTCGCACGAGAGTGATTAAGCCCCGAAAGCGAGGCGGCATGTAAACTCGAGTGGGAGTTTTTCCGGCCTGCTCGTTTCGCTTCTCGCGTCTTGAACGCTCACGTGTGAGGTCCTCTACATGGAAGACTGCTCGCTAGTTACAAAGCTATCTCAGATCTCTGGAAAATTAAAACGTGTCTAATATCTGGGGGTAGCTACAATAAGCTTTCGCGGCAGTAGCCTGCATAACAAACGGTTTAACAAGGCAGAGCCGGAGCATGAAGGTGAAAAAGGTAAGTCTCGCGGAGCGCTGACTTTCACGCTCGCGTATCGCACATCGTGGCTGACGTCGCACGCCGTGGAGTTCAACCGCCGAAAAACTCCAATGGTGAAGTTTTTCGGTAAGCTGACAAGAATCGCAACAATAACTGAAAACTGAGAGAAGACACCTAGCGATTATTTTAGCTGACTTTATACCACCCAGTCAGATCCTCTGCAAACAGTGACTAGGCCAAGTCACAAATGTGAAATTTTATTTACGAAATTGAAAACGGCAGCAAACATTACACGCCATTATTAATGCACCTAACTATTCGTGTCATAAGTAAATGCTATCTCTGAGGAGTGCGTTTTCTTGTAATACAGTAAAACTATATGGTCCTATAGGCTGTGCTAAGTTCATGCCAAAATGGCAATCGTGAATTTATAAAAACAAAACAAAAAATCTATCACTGGTATCCGGCCTTGTCATACTTCGGTGCAACTTTTGTTCCCCAAAGGCAGACAAATATGGACGGGTCATAGGCGTTGTTCGCACAACATTTCAGCACTGCACCATATGGGCGAGGATTGAGCTTTGAACCACAGCAGATACCCGTGTATGGATCGTACGGTGCGCCTGCGCACTTGGTATACACCTGGTTACCGCTACAGAAATGAGACTGAGAGTTGTACGGGCTCGGGCCACAGCATTTGGCATCTTTACCACCCACCCGCTGTTGTACCGTACCATTGCAGCACAGGGAGCTGGCAAGGTTGTATGGCCTGGCTCCTCCACACAGAGTCACCACAGTGTCATTGTAGCAGAAGTAGCGGCTGGAGTCGTAGCTTTCTCTGGCGCAGCATTTGGCATGCTGTCCTCCTTGCTTGGGTGTCAGGGTATTGCCACAGCACTTTTGAGTGTTCAGGTCATAGCGAGCGTAATTACAAAGGGGGACAACCTGGCCACCGGTGCAGAAGAAGCGGTCACTGGCATACGCTCGCTTGCCACAGCAATCTGTCTGGTTTCCTCC